ATCACATTGCATTGTAAAGTACCAAACGCCACCTAAATGAGATTGGAGGCGAGAATCATGTCAAATGCATGTAGTGGTTCCGTGTAATTATAACGTAGTGAAATTATTCTTTCCGTCTTATTTTCTTCATTTATTTTTTGATATTTAAAATTATCATTTATTTTTTAACATCTAACTATCTTACTTTTTTTCTTTTTTTTAAAGATAATTTTTCACACACACACACACACACACACATATATATATATATATTACTTTTTGACATCAAAATTATGAAACATCAATTTTATAATTAATTTTTAAAATTTCAATATAAAATAAACTAAAGTCAATAATTTGTTTCCTTAAACATTGTAAAAATTAAATGGAACATGCAAATGAGACAAAAAAAGTATCATTCCCTTCTAACGCATCATCAGCCGTAAAGATCCTATAAGTTATGATAGAGTAAACTATGGGAAGATCACTTAAGCTTATAACAATTTTTATTTCGGTTATTTTAGTGCTAAAAGTTATATTTTTGACACTAACATTTGTAGAGTTAATTATCAAACAACGAAAATAAATATATTTCGTGGAGTTTGTCTTTCCAAACAAAGCCTAGGTTCTCGACTGATAGTTCTACGATATCTTGAGGAGCAAAATGTACCTGATGGCATAAGTCTGCTCTAAACTGGTAAACGACACAAGTTCATTAAGAACCTGTTGGGTGTGCCAAGAGATTAGTTTTTGATGATTGAGGGCAAGAGAAGACAAGATCCTAGACAGGGGCGTACATACATTAAGACAAGTTGTATCACATAAGACCACTTTTTTACTCAATCTTAAAAATTTTTTACTTGTTATACTAATTATGTTAGAGTTTTATGTAATTAATGACGCTAATGAATTTACTAATTTTTTTACAATTTTGTAGGGAGTGAGATCAAAGACTTTAAATCAAAGTAAATTAATCAAAAAGTAATTTATATACTAATATTTAAATATTACATAAAAAAACAAAAAAAATTCTTTCTATAATTTAAATATTAATTTTTTTAAATTATTATTATTATTTTAGTTATAACATCACTCAAAAAAATTTATGAATCCACCCCTAATTGATGTGGTGACAATCTTCGTCAACAACCACTCTCAAAAGGTGTAATATTGGAGACGTGGTAAGGTTCTTGGTGTTTTTATTTCAAAGAAAAGGTCAAAAGAGGGGTAGGAACATTAGTTTTATTAGGTTTAGTTCTTTGGTGAAGGTGAAAACAGACAATGAATCTAAATAGGGTTTAGTTGCTTGACCATATATTATTAGTGTGTTGAGAGGAGCCCTACACTCAATTGAGATTGGTTAAGGCTTGATTCCAATCATTTACCAATTGCATTTATGTTGAATGATAAGAGATTTTCCTTCATTAATAATACGTTAATTATAATGGGTTATAAGTCTAATTGGATGAAGTCCATGAGATTAATATACCTGGAAAGGAAACTTTAATAGGTTGCAGTCATGAGATCCTTATGCATCAAAGTATAATCTCTAAATGTTTCTCATCAATGTATTATCGAGACTGGGCATCAATGATGCATAAAGACTAGTATATTCTATGTTTCTTACTTGAAAAGTAAGC